AATAAATTGAGGCTAAATAACCATTTCTTTTTATCTATAGGTATTCGACTATAACTCTGTACAATAAATTATACACAACACATGAACAATTGACATACAAATTGTTCATTTACATCTGTAATTATTACGAATCTGTGAGCAATTTGCGATTCGGTACAGAATCGTCGTGTCAACCGACAGATTAATATTGGAACGTGTAATTTTATTATACCGATTGGTGAATCAATCAGAGCCGTTACGTTGCTACTGACAAATATCGTGTACACTCGAGGACGTTTTAATCCTACCCATTTTGATAATTTCATTGGATACATATATTGCAATTATGCTGAAAAGTTGTCATACGTCCTTACCTAATTATAGCTCTTAGGGCGACGTTCCATTAGTCGTTAGTGCCCGCATGTGAAATGAGAGTGATTTCTTGATTACGCATGCCTTAGCGCTCACATAAAGGTTTTCATTAGTCCTTTTCCTAATTAGTCCTTATAAAACGGAATTTTTTTGGTCTCAGAAACCTACAGTGAGTAGTGTATTTAATAGTTAGACTTGGCATCATCCAGTTTCATTATTTTATTTGGATTTGATTCTCAAAACAAAAGGTTTAAAGCAATCTAAGTCGATGTTCCTTGGGCAAGTTACATAGTACATTTTAATATTCATAGATCTAGCAGTATTTCTATACACAATGCGGCGAACAGAGAACGCCGTATTTTCTTATTAAACTTTCATGTTATCCTATAAATAATATAGCGGTTACTGCAGCCCGAGGGACTTCCTTATTCTTTATTAAACGTATATTGTTTTTGAAAACTGTTTCCATTGAACTCGAAGCACTTTACTAAAGTGTACAAGGAATCTTTCTAGGCGTGTACTATTAATTAAATGTACTCATAACATAAATTATTATTAAACGGTAAATCATCAACTTGCTATATTATCTACGGAAAGCCGGCTCAGTATGTTGGTACTGCCGAGTAGTTTTATACGTCACATTGAACACACCCTCCTTATGCATGAATCATCATCATCAGCTCACTATACTTCCCCACTGAGGGGCTCAGAGCCTACCCTCTATGTTATGGGTGACTATGCCATAGTCAACCACGCTGGCCCAGTGCGGGCTGGTTGACTTCACACCTATCTTTGAATTTCTTCTCAGATATCTGCAGGTTGCATCACGATGTTTTCTTCACCGTAAGAACGTCGGATAAATGTACATATGTTAATCGAAAAACACATTGGTACATGGCGGGATTCAAACCCTGGACCTGCAGATTGCAAGTTAAGTGCTTAAACCCCTGAGCCACCGACGCTCTATGCATGATTATGAAACATTAAAAAACAATAAAAATACACAAGATAAAATATAGTAATATAGCTTTATTGTACTTTAAAGTACTTATGGTAGTTACTTTGAGTGCAAACATGTCTCAAGTCAGTCTGCCCTTTTCTCCGAGCCGGCCATTTTGTTCATTAAAATTCTCAATCGCAATTCTCTTGAAATTTCTTTGCGGTGGAATATTAAGTTTTCATAACTGAACTGAATTGTTAAAGGACTTACTATTGTAAAAGGTTTATAATAAAGCGGTTACTTGACGACTTTTAATTACGAACTATATAACGGGGATTTTGAAATACTTTATAATTATATAATTAACACGAGTTTCGAAATACTTTCACACGAGTACTTTGCAGTAAATTAACAAACATTATATTTCTGACACGTGTACAAAACCTTATATTAGTGCTATTAGTAACTCTATTATTATATGTATTTCTTTGCGTTCCTTCCTCTGTGGATTAAAAGTAGGCAAACGCATCTACAATTGCGGATGATTATGGGCAGAGGTTGGTTAAAGTGGCCGCTTTCTTGTTTGCCACCTTATAATATAAAAAAAAAACTTAGAAGAAATACTAACTCTTATCCGTATCGTTCTAATATTCATCGTTTACTCGTATAAAATGTATTAAATATCAGTTAATATTAAAATGTTATAAACATTTAAATAGAATAGTGCATGCAATGTTACAATCGCTAGACGCAGGATAGTTTATAAAAGGAGCTCGTTTTAAATTCATTGAATTTTCTCTTACAAATCCGCTTCAGCCGCTCCGCCGGTATGTGCGGCGTGTGGGTACACGGGTCACAACTTTCAAAGAGACCAGTTTGAATTCTTATCAAAAGAAGCCATTAAGTATCATGCTTCATTGCTCAAAGTAATAAACGTAGTACCGACCTCTTGCCGACGGGGACTTTGTTTTGATTAAATTTTCACGTTTACGACAAAGTTACAGGATGTTCGATTTTCGTTTCCTTTATACGATTTATATTTGTTTCACTACGCATATATACGTATTCTAAATAACTGATAAACATTTATGACTTACCTCAATTAAATTCATCCTGTAAAAGCTACTATCTTTCAATGGTATAATCACATTTCCTTGCTATTTATAAAATGTATGTTAAAAACTTTAATACAATCACTAGACGTGGTAAGACACCACAAAGACATAGTACTAGATAAGTCTTAGTGGCAAATGAACATGGACTTTATAATAACAAAAAGCGCCAGCGAGCAGACATTTTAGCGGCACAAATTCTTTGACATTCTCCGTTATGAAATCTTTTGTAACATTATACTGTTAGCACTCAACCTTCTCTGTAAAACACAGATGAATTTCAACTCGTCGTTTGTCGACTTGAAATTATATTTAGCGAGTAAGCTCAAGTTTTATTAATGTTGGAGAACCGGTGAGGTCTCAACACAAACTGTGGCAAGTTTGTAAGAGATGTCTTTGTTACAAGCATTAATCACCAGTCACAAATTACTCCGCCTTAACCAAGTATCTACTTAGCGAGAAGCGTTTAAATTTTGATGCAGATTTTATTCATCAATCTT